GCCTTCATGGGAGCCATGACGACGGGTGCACGAGGCTGGTAGCGCAAGGACGCGTGGCCGGACTGAGAAGTGGCTTCAGCAAAGTACAGGATTGAAAGCTTCAAGCACTCAGGGACGATACGGCGACCCCAGCCAATATCCCTCAGGAAACCGTTGCAGTAAGGGGCTTGGCTCAAGTTGCTGTGGCTGCTGCATTCGCCCTGGCATGCCAAAAAAAAGCAATGAGAACATCATAGCTCCCAAAAACTGCCCAACATACGAGTAGGACCTATCCCGAACTTTCCCAGCGACCTGCGCATGTTGCCGCCTTTTTCCCTGTACATGCAGAGGCCCCAGGGCAGTGCTGCGTCAGGCCCTACGGACCTGCTCTGCCTTGAAACGTGTGGGCCAAAACTGCTCACTTCATCGCCTTCATGGCCTGCAGAGCGGTCGTGGATTCAAAGGTCATAGGATCTTAAGTTGGGGGGGGGGGGGCATTCCGTAGAGCCTGACACAGCAAGATTTCTCTCCGCAAAAACCTCCTCCGAAAACCAAGGCTGAACAAGTCTCATGCAAAGCAGAAGATCACGCATTGCCGCAACCGTCGCCAGAAATCTGAAAAATCAAACATCCCATGTGGGCAACGCGCTGCCTTCATCGCCTTCATGGCCTTCATCGCCTGTGGAGGAAACATGACAGGGCCAAAAATGGAACAACAAAGGCTGCAATAAACATCAGCCATGAAATGGTGCTGCTACGCCTTACTCGGTGAACACTTTACGGAGTGTTGTCTTCCATTGTACCAAAAGCCAAAGCCACAAAGCTTGTCTTCACGGCTACACAGACAATCTCGGCAAAAGCATCTCTTCGTTCAGAATGGTCCGGGCCTTCATCGCTTTCATGGCCTTCATCGCCTCCCACAGCACAGTTGATGTTTGAGACCCTTTCAAAGACTTCGTTGCCCACAAAGCCATTTTGCGGGATAACGGAAGGCCGACTGTCATGTAGAGGGAGGGCCCGGGAAGCAGGTCTTGCTGTATGTGCGTCTGCATCCAGAAGTCATTGAGAAGTCATCGAGAAGCTGTTGATGGCCATCATAACGGCAAAGGCTTTTGGCAAGAATCTCAGTCGTAAGACTTCCACAAAAAATCTGTTTTCGCCAGAACACTAGATCCCGTAATCAGCACGAGCAAAAGGTAGTGTAGAGTAGAGTAGGCGCAAACCTCCGGTCGTTGCTGAGACCGCTGAGACCGAAGGTGAATTTGCCACTCAGCACTTAAACCACTTTCTACAAATCTTGCACTGACGTGCTTGCCCTGCCTTCATGGCCTTCATGCTCTTCATTGCCGGGGCTTCCTCGGCATCGGCTTTCTTCATCGCCTGCAGAGCCAATGCGACTCAGATCGCAAGCAAGTTGCGGGCACCATGTGTGAGAACGCTTGCGGAGTACCGTGCCTGTCTGCCTGTGTTTCCCAAAGCCAACACGGTAGATTCCGGTAATCAAAAACTGAACTATCTATGAATCTATGGTTCAGACGTTCAATGTCACAAATTGCAAGACCCATCAGAATCTGCAACCGCGGCATCTGCGCGGTGCCTTCATGGCTTTCATTGCCTTCATCGCCTGGCATGAGCTTCGCGGCATAAAAATCTCTAATGGTCAACACGCAGCTCCTGCATTCTGGAGTATCACGTCCCGCTCATTGCAGGGACTCCAGAGAGGGATCCCAGGATCCCTGATGTCTCAGGACCCCCAAAACCTCCCCATAAGGGAGGTTCAAGCCAAAGAAGCCAGCAGCAACTGAAATCGCAAAGTGCAAACAGATTCTAGCTGAAGATCAAACATTTCCAAGGCTCCCTCCACATATCAATTCTTGCCACGACTGAGGCATGCAGTGCATGAAGAGCTCAAACAAACTAAGAATTGCATGAAACACCATTCTGCCTAGCACTCGGTCCGGCCTTCATCGCTTTCATGGCCTTCATCGCCTCCCATCATCAATCTTCCGTGAGCACACTAATGTCACTAATGTAGCCATGGCACTACATTTTTGAACGCATCAAGCATACGCGCACAACTTCATACAGTTCCTTCATCGCCTTCATTGCCTTCATGGGAGCCATGACGACGGGTGCACGAGGCTGGTGGCGCAAGGACGCGTGGCCGGACTGAGAAGTGGCTTCAGCAAAGTACAGGATTCAAAGCTTCAAGAACTCAGGGACGATACGGCGACCCTAGCCAATATCCCTCAGGAAACCGTTGCAGTAAGGGGCTTGGCTCAAGTTGCTGTGGCTGCTGCATTTGCTCTGGCATTCAAAAGAAGAAATGGCATGAGGGCGTAAAACACTTTCCCTATTCTTCGACAAGTTGTCACACATGGCCTCATCTGACTTCCAAAAACTGCCCAACATACGAGTAGGACCTATCCCGAAACTTCCCAGCGACCTGCGCATGTTGCCGCTTTTTCCTGTACATTCAGAGGCCCCAGGGCAGCGCTGCGTCAGGCCCTACGGACCTGCTCTGCCTTGAAACGTGTGGGCCAAAACTGCTCACTTCATCGCCTTCATGGCCTGAAGGGCGGTCGCGGCTTCAAAGGTCGCGGGAATTTAAGGTGGCGGGGGAGGAGGGGGAGCTGGGGGGGGAAGGGGCGTTCGGTAGAGCCTGACACAGAAAGGTTTCTCTCCGAAAAGACTCTCCTCCGAAAACCAAGGCTGAACAAGTCTCATGCAAAGCAGCAGAACATGCATTGCCACAACCGTCGCCAGAAATCTGAAAAATCAATCATCGCATGCGGGCGACACGCTGCCTTCATCGCCTTCATGGCCTTCATCGCCTGTGGAGGAAATATGACAGGGCCAAAAATGGAACAACAAAGGCTGCAATAAACATCAGCCATGAAATGGTGCTGCTACGCCTTACTCGGCGAACACTTTACGGAGTGTTGTCTTCCATTGTACCAAAAGCCAAAGCCACAAAGCTTGTCTTCACGGCTACACAGACAATCTCGGCAAAAGCAGCTCTTCGTTCAGAATGGTCCGGGCCTTCATCGCTTTCATGGCCTTCATCGCCTCCCACAGCACAGTTGATGTTTGAGACCCTTTCAAAGACTTCTTTGCCCACAAAGCCATTTTGCGGGATAACGGAAGGCCGACTGTCATGTAGAGGGAGGGCCAGGGAAGCAGGTCATGCTGTATGTGCGTCTGCATCCAGAAGTCATTGAGAAGTCATCGAGAAGCTGTTGATTGCCATCATAACGGCAAACGCTTTTGGCAAGAATCTCAGTCGTAAGACTTCCACAAAAAATCTGTTTTCGCCAGAAAACTAGATTCCGTAATCAGCACGAGCAAAAGGTAGTGTAGAGTAGAGTAGGCGCAAACCTCCGGTCGTTGCTGAGACCGCTGAGACCGAAGGTGAATTTGCCACTCAGCACTTAAACCACTTTCTACTAATCTTGCACTGACGTGCTCGCCCTGCCTTCATCGCCTTCATGCTCTTCATTGCCGGGGCTTCCTCGGCATCGGCCTTCTTCATTGCCTGCACACCCAAATCAACTCCGCGAGCAAGTTTCAGGCACCGTGTGTGCAGAAGCGCTTTGCAGAATCATGATGCCTGCTTTTCAGTCCCCAAAACGAAACAGTATTCCGACAATCCAAACCTGAACTGTCTATCGCTCCATTTTGTTAGAGCACACCGAAAATTTGTAACAGCTGCATCTCCCCGCTGCCTTCATGGCTTTCATTGCCTTCATCGCCTGGCATGAACGTCGCTGCACAACGCCAGTTCAGCAAACAGTAGATTCCAGAAGAACACATGCAATTCAGCAAATCTCCTAGATTTCAAAGTATCCTGTCCCCATCACTCCAGTCAAAAAAGCCAGTAACAACTGAAATCGCAAAGTGCAAACACATTCTCGCTGAAGATCAAAACATTTGAAAGGCTCACTGGACATATCAAATCTTGCCACGAGTGACCCATGCATGAAGAGCTCAGACAAACAAAGCATCGCATTCATGGGGCTTTTCCCCAGCAGTCTGTCCGGCCTTCATCGCTTTCATGGCCTTCATCGACTCCCACGGCCCAGCTGATGTTGCAGAAACTTTCGACACCCTACGCAGCCTACACTCTAAGCCC